CTGCCTCCGCTTCTTTGTGTACCGAACCTAAGCTTATAGGCTCAAGAGTCAAAAGTCTGTGTGTTTGTGTATTCTTGTAAGTCCTGTAACCTTTATGGGACTATAGGCCTGTTGTCCGTGTGTTTGTCTCTCTGGACTCTGTGTTCTAGTACCGATCATGACAGACAACACTCAATGTGTTTACTAACCGTTACACGAGGGTTAGGCTGTTAGAAGTCAAACCCTCATGAAGGTTTTTTATATAGTACTGAGTAGCGGTCGTGTTGTGTTGTACAGCTGGTTGTCACTTCCCCTCAACACTCAGAGATACAAGCTGTCACTTTCCTCCTCATCACCCAGAGATACAAAACTGTCACTTTCCCCTCAACACCCAGAGATGCAAGCTGTCACTTTCCTCCTCATCACCCAGAGATACAAAACTGTCACTTTCCCCTCAACACCCAGAGATACAAGCTGTCACTTTCCCCTCAACACCCAGAGATGCAAGCTGTCACTTTCCCCTCAACATCCAGAGATGCAAGCTGTCACTTTCCCTTCAACACTCCGAGATACAAAGCTGTTACTTTCCTCTTCAACGTCAAATGCAAGACACTTTCTTCTGCACTTTCACGAACCTCTGAAGTACTTTCGTCATCCCAAAGAGAGAAAATTGTGACAAACGATACATTTTTAAATGAAAATTTTTAATACAAACAAAAATACTGAAATAAATCTCTTCTTTTTTGGTTGTAAGAATAAATTTATTTTAATGTATTTTTGTTTATTCTTTTGTTTTTTTCCGCCTCTACTACGCCATCGTCCAATCTCGCCTTGAGCTTTACAATGTACGTAAAGTTTTTCGCTCAGAGACTATTCCCAGGCAAATGTTGCTGGTTTGTGTATATCAAGTACAGGCCTCTCTCTCTCTCTCTCTCTCTCTCTCTCTCTCTCTCTCTCTCTCTCTCTCTTGCGCTGAGTATTCTTTTATTTTTATTATTATCTTTTTTTAGTTAGAAAGACATTGGAATGGAAGTCAGAACGGTGGAAAACGAAAGGGAGGAAAGGCGACAGTGATAGTGAAAATATATAGTGTAGTGAAGGTTGAATGGAGGTGAGAGTGACGGAACAAAAGCGACAGTGACAGTGAAAATGAGTGAACGTGAATGTTTTGTTTTTAGACTGAAGGACAAAGGAAGGGAGGAATGTTGATAGAAATTGTGTGGTAGAATGAAGTGAGAATAGGAAACATAAAGAGAGAGAGAGAGAGAGAGAGAGAGAGAGAGAGAGAGACACACACACACAGGGGGGATGATGAGTTTCCAGGAATACTCAAACTGCTGTCTTTGCCGCTGGCGACGTGTGTCCTTATCCCACTTATTATTGCCCACTACCTGTTCCCTCCCCTTCCCGCCGTTTCCCACTACCTGTTTTTGTTCTGTCTCCGCCAACAGTGCTAGCCGTTTTTTCACTCTTGCGTATACTAGTTCCCGCTACCTGTTTTAATAAATACCTAAATCCCTTTCGTGTTTAGGACGAAAGTAAAAGAATATGAAGTAGATTTATGACTCGTTCATCATTTCAATCCGTATTCTGGTTTGGTTTTGGTTCCATTTATGACTTTACACTCGTATTTTATAGCTGCTTTATTATTATTATTATTATTATTATTAGTAGTAGTAGTCAGAGCCACATGCGGCTTTTGCTGCATTCACCCATGGAGTTAAGCATCGTTGGAACTACTTGATGCGTACTATCCCTGATATCGGACCCCTCCTCCATCCTCTGGAAGAAGCTATCAGTGTCAATTTCATTCCCAAATTAGTGAAACACCCCCACTTATCCCCAGCAGAAAGATCACTTCTTGCACTTCCATCAAGACTGGGAGGTATGGGACTAACCAATCCAGAGGAGATTGCTGCCACTGAACATAAAAATTCACTTAAGCTCATGGCAGCCCTCACGGATCACATAATAGCCCAGAATGCAACAGGGGAGGTGGATACCAGTGAAGTAAACAAGATTCGTAGGTCCATTACGACAGAACGACAGCACTGCCAAAATGATAAGCTGCAGCAACTGTTGCTGCAGGTACCAGAAAGTTTGAAAAAAAAAGTAGCTATAGCGCTGGAGGTTGGCGCCTCGAACTGGTTAACTACGTTACCGATAAGGGCAAATGGTTTTAGTCTCAATAAACAAGAATTTACAGATGCCATTGCTCTAAGGTACGGTTGGCCAGTAGAAGGTTTGCCCTCCCAATGCGTGTGTGGCTCTTCCTATGATGTCGATCACGCCATGGTGTGCATGAAAAGGGGCTTCATATGCATGAGGCATGACGAAGTAAGGGACCTCACAGCAAATATGTTGAAGGAAATCTGCCGGGATGTCATGGTTGAACCGACCCTCCTTCCTTTGGACGGTGAGATCTTCCAGCATAGGACTTCAAACACATCTAACGAAGCCCGTGTTGACGTCAGTGCTCGAGGATTCTGGACGCGGGGACAGCGAGCTTTCTTCGACATCAGGATTTTTTATCCCATGGCCGCATGTCACCGTAACCTAGCTCTCGATGCTGCACACAGGAGGAACGAGAACGACAAGATAAGGGCATATGGGGAGAGAATTCAAAACGTTGATCAAGGCAGCTTCACTCCTCTAGTGTTCACAACCTCTGGTGAGATGGGACCAAGTGCAAGATGTTTCTACACCAGACTAGCGGAGGTGATCTCCGAACAGAAGCAGCAGCCCAGAAGCTACGTTACAGCCTGGATGAGATGTCGACTGTCCTTTTCTCTCCTTCTGTCGGCGTTGCTCTGCCTCAGGGGAACGAGAGCTTCTGCCCCAATGCCGACAACTGCTGCAGATATTGACTATGAGGCTACAGTCACTGAATGCCGCATAGATCTGCAGCTCAACTAATTCAACACAGACAGGATAGCTACTTATGTATTAGGATATTTAATATTAAGGTAATAAAATGGCGGCGAAGGTGTGGCTATTGGGGGAGGCTGGAGGCCACGTTTAGAAAAAAAAGGTAGTAGTAATAGTAGTAGTACAGGTAGTAAAAATGATCCGAGCTCTCGTAAGTTTTGTTAACGTTAAAAATATGGAAAAAGTGTTTCATACCTTCAAAATGCAAATCGGGTTTAGATAATCCCTGGACAGTTTCAAATTATCTGTGACTGAAATGTGATATAATATATTCGTATATATTTGTTGGTTCCACTGATGTGAAACTTCAAACAGAATCCGGATTTGAAGGCAGAACCTTGAAAATTGGACGAGAATCTGATACAAGACCGAGAAACGGATCAGACGAACAGGAAATACGCGAGAAATGTTGGTGTTAAAGGAAGACGTAAGGATAAAAAATATTGGCAGATAAGAGAGGTAAATAAATAAGAGAACAAGAAAGAACAATAAGAAAAGTAAGAGAGAGAAACTGAAACGCGAAAAAAAAATGAGAGAGCTAGAATACATTATAGTTTAATTTAATCAGTGCGTCTACCTGTCCCTCACACCTGGGCTGGAGATTGGCGTGTTGGGGGTTAGAGGGGGGTCGTGAGGGAGGGAAGTTGAGGGACAGCTGCTACATCCAGCTTCTGTTTGTGAGTTTGGACGCCAGAGTCTGAACCAACTTGTATTATGTATTGATTTTATACTGGCTATATTTTTCACTGGACCAACTTTACCTTGGCCATATTTTATACTGAATAAACTTTACCTTGACTATAGTTTATACTGAGTAAACTTTACCTTGACTATAGTTTATACTGAATAAACTTTACCTTGACTATAGTTTATACTGAATGGTGCTACTATAGTATGCGATCTACCGAGCTGGAGTTGTCGTCTACCGGGACATTTACACTAGCATCCATTAACCTAATGGTTATTAACTTAGGTTAGGCTAGGCTTGGCTAGGCTAGGCTAGGCTGGGTTAATAGATGCTACAGTGTAGGTATCCCGGTAGACCAACTCCAGTGCGGTAGACAGCATACTATAGTAGCACCTAATAAATTTACTTTGGCTATAGTTTATACTGAACATCATCAACCCTGGCTAGTTTTGAACTGAGTTAACGTTACCTTGGCTATATTTTATATGACCCACCTTTACCCTGCTGTGCCGTATACGGAGTCTACGTTAATCTAGCTAAAGTTTATATAAAAAAGTCGCCCTTCTTACATTATACGGAAACGGAACCTCCCCGGCTATATTATAATTAACTTATTTTATTACTTTCGGTTAACAGAGGATAGCTTCTAGCTCAGGTGATGATGTGTCCCGATCACCAGGATAGTTTGCATTTTAGTCTCACTCCCAAGACGACGATAAGTATTGCCACATACATCCCAGGGAGAAGAAAATGTCACCACTCAGGCCTTAATTACGAGGCTGGTGTTATCACGGGGTTGGTAACACTGGCGCGGGGACACTGAGGAGAATGTTGATGGCGTGGTGTGACCCTCCCTCTCTCAGCCTTCGGGAGGGTCAATGTTTCCTGGGTTAGATTTCTTCCCCAAACTGGAGATGTGAGAAGTATTTAACTGGCTCACTGAAGCGAAACCACTCTAAAAGATAGCACCGTAGTTGTTTTTTCGTCAGAAGAAATAAAGAAATATTTTGGTCGAACGAACTTTTTTGAAAATCTTGAATCATAAAACTTCAGAATCTCAAAATTTCGTACCTTAAATTTTATCATCGAGTTGAATTATGGATTTTTTTAAAGTAGCTCTATTGTTATTTTATTTTTGCTAACGATATCTCTTCTGGGTTACGTTGATTTTATTTTTTCAACTCTTGGATTTGCTGCTAAGCCATCTAGTATTTTTTGGGCTTTGTTTTTTTTTTCTTATTGTTAAATCTATCTTGTCTTAAAAAACCTTTTCTTATTTACTGTTTTGGTCTAGTTAGCTTGTGTCATATTCTTAATTAATTCAGAAACAACAGAATACATAGAGTTTACAGGTACAGATATTTCAAAACCATAACATTAGAGTAATCAGACTTTCTTTCATTTCAGGTGAGAGCCGTACCTGTGATTTTGCTTGACCACGGTGAGTCAATGGCGAGTCAGAGTCAGTCAGTCAATCCGTGGTAAAAGTGAGTCAATTAAAACAAGGATTCAGTCATTTGGTAGTAATGGTGACTCAGCTGTTAATCAGGGTAAGTATGAAACAGTCAGTCAGTCAACAAACACAGGAACAACAACAGATATTTCGGATCAGTGTACAGTACTTTTTCAGGTGTGACTTTATCGTGTATAATGACAGATGAGAATCACAAATTTAACACATACAAGTTAGCACATATGTTGCACGTACAAAGCAGAAGCACATATATAACACATAGTCACGCATACTTAACGTTTACAATTAAACATACACAATACATACACATTATTAACATACACATGCACAGTAGAAGAACATGGTATATATAACATTTACTGTATATTCGTATATACATTTCGAACATACACAAGAATACATATTTATATTATACATACATATTTCTCAGTTGCTAGGTCCATGAAAGGTCGGGTGGATGTACAAATTGTTCGCGTAACACACCGTATGAACAGAGTGTACTTGAGTGTACAGTGTCAGCATGTGTGAGGGTATGGTGTCAGCATGTGTGCGTGTACAGTGTCAGCATGTGTGAGTGTACAGTGTCAGCATGTGTGAGTGTACAGGATGTGTAAGGGTGTGTTATGTGAGCCTGATTTAAATCTTGTATTTCTTTTCTATTTTATAAATGGGAGGTGGAGAAGGGACGGGTTATAGAGAGGAAATCCGCGTCTCTGGTCACACACTGGCCAGGTGAAGATGAAAGTGACCAGCTGACATGGTAGGCCTAACCCCGTCGTCTACACCACACGCACGCACACACACACACACACGGGGGGGGGGTGTGTATCTATACCCTTTGTTAATAAGTGGCGTATTTCAATTACACGTGTCTTGTGTTTTAGGCGGGGCTGAACTGATGGCAACATTTGGTTCACACGAGAGAGAGAGAGAGAGAGAGAGAGAGAGAGAGAGAGAGAGAGAGAGCAGGTGGTTCTAAGGGGACTCGATAATATACAGTGATGGAGGGGACGACTATAAACCAGTGTTACGGCTGTGATGCTCTGACGGGAGGAGTGGCGGACGGGAGGAGGGGAGGGGTCACTAGGAGGGTAGGTCGAACGTAGTGGAGGTGGTGCGTTGTTATTGATGTGTTGGTGTGGTCCAGATGTTATCACTACTGGACGTTGTTCTCCTCCCCCAACCCCACACCCCTACCCCAAGCTCCTGTCACCCGTCCCCTCCTTCCTACCCACGCCTCCCCACCCCACCTCACTCCCCTACTGCACACTGCTAAACCATAAAAGGTGACGTGTAACTATATGTTTAAGGAACAGCTGTTGGACGTGATATACACAGTAGTTGATGGCGGTGATGATAGTCCTGTGAGAGCCACGTGGCGCTCCTGATGCTGGTGGTGGTGGTGGTGGTAGTGGCTTTGGTACTGCTAGTTGGTGGTGGCGGTGGTGGTAGTGGCTTTGATGCTACTATATGTTGATGGTTATGGTGATGATATTATTGACATAACCAAATCAGATCCAACTCAGACTTAACATAATTATTCTAACCCAACCTAACCTAACCAAAACTAACGTTAATATAACAAAATTAAGCCAAACCCAACCTAACTCAGTCTAACCACACCCATAACTAACATCACAACCAAATAGAACCTAGCCAAACCTAACCTAACCTAACCTAACTTTACATAAGCCAAACTAACCTCACCTGACCTAACAGCCAAATTGGATATAAGTTAACCAAATCTAATTAAACTTAACCTAACCTAACCTATCCTAAGCGAACTATGCAAAAGGTATCAGAAATAAACAATGTTAAAATAAGTTGCACGTGAAGTACTCTGGACAACGTGAATTTTGGTAGACACGTTTATTGTGAGGTCCACTTGATTTGAAAACTCTCTGGTGTTAATTTCTTTCAATTTACCCTCGTTAGAATCTTTGGCACATGGGTAGAACTTTAGGACAAGCATTTAGAACACTTGGGAAATGTCTGATCCCTTGGCATGGTGTTAGAACCCTTAGGCCTGGTGTTAGAACCCTTTGGCATGGTGTTAGAACCCTTAGGCCTGGTGTTAGAACCCTTTGGCATGGTGTTAGAACCCTTAGGCCTGGTGTTAGAACCCTTTGGCATGGTGTTAGAACCCTTAGGCATGGTGTTAGAACCCTTGGGTATGGTGTTAGAACCCTTGGATACGTCTAGAACCTTTAAAAAACTCATTAAACGCTGGGTCATTCCACTAGAACCTTTTAACGTTTGAGCTACTAGACATTCCGTTATAGCTATGTTAAGTCTTATAGATGTCCCTATAAATCCTGTGGATGTAGAACCTCTGACTATACTAGTAGAACCCCTGACTATACTAGTAGAACCCCCGACTAAACTAGTAGAACCCCCGACTATACTAGTAGAACCCCCGACTAAACTAGTA